TCTGTACAGAAAAAGTGTCTTAATAAAGAAACTATTATGTTTGGAAATAGTGTCTTAATTAAGACTCATTTCTGTGGAGAAAAAGTGTATAAAGGAAGAAACTTTTCTGTATGGAAAAGGAGTTTTAATGAAGACACTCTTCTGTATAGAATAAGTGTCTTAATGAAAACACTTTTCTGTACAGAAAAGATGTGTCAATGAAGACACTTTTCTGTATAGAAAAGTTGTCTTAATGAAGACACTTTTTGGTATAGAAAATGAGATTTAATGAAGACTATTTTCTGTATAGAAAATGTGTCTTAATGAAGACACTTCTCTATATAAAAAGGAGTCTTAATGAAGACACTTTTCTGTATAGATAAAGTGTTTTAATGAAGACACTTTTCTATATAGAAATAGTATCTTAATGAAGATTCTCTTCTGTATAGAAATAGTATCCTAATGAAGACACTTTTCTATATAGAAAAAGTGCCTTAATGCAAACAATTGTATTTCATATTTAAAACTGTCGGGTATTCTGACATATATTCTATGAATCTGTCAATATATAGTTATCCTTGTAAAACTCAATACATACAAAAAACGTGTGTATGTTTTATAACTTGTCAACAAATGTTTTATTCCGTTTGTTGTTACAAAATGCTATTGCTGCAACTATTGCTATACTTTGCTTTATTGTCTTTTTAAATTGTTGGCGATATATTGTTTTATTGCGTTTTTCTCTTTTTTTTTTGTCATCATTTCTATTGTACTCGTTACATTATTGTCACTATTTGTATGCAGCATTAGTATGTTATTCATTATTTTCTTATAAGCTTTTTTCTGAGTGTGTGTGTTCTCTTTTTTTTTTTTTTTTGCTTTAAAGCTATTTATTGCTTTCAATTGCAATTTGCTACTTTAACTACTATAGTTTTGCTAGTACTTTTTTGCAATTTTATATTCGTTAAAACTGTTGTAGTGTTCTGCGAATTGTTTCGTCATTTTTAAGGATTTTTCATTGCAATTAGTGGGTTTATATACTTTTCTCTTTTACTTTTGTGTTGCAAAATACTTTAACGAGACAAACGTTAGAGCACAATGAAAATGACAAAGAATTTTAATTATTTTTTTTTTCTTCGCCAATTTGAGATATTGCATAAAAGATTTGAAAAACAAGAAGCTTAGTTTGGAATATGTGAAATAATTTGAAAGAATTGCGTTTTTTGTGAAGGAATTTTAAGAGTTAGACTAATTTTGACAATAAAGCCATGTTTTAAAAACCAATTATAAACTTTATATGTTCGACAGGATTCACTTTTTTATTGAAAAATGTATGTATATATAAAGTATTTCCTTTTCCACAAAGCATAACAGTTTAAAATAAATTACTCATACGTATTGAAATCAGAAATCAAAACCAAAAACATTAACCTTTAATGACATTCCCTGTAAAATGGAATATTTGTAAAGATTTTTCGAATTAAAAAAGTAACAACCAATACAGCTCAATACAACAGATAAACTATTTTTCGAATCCTGTTGCCAGAGTTACGTCACATTGAATATGATTGTTAAATAAAATGTACATGTGTGTGCATTTATTATAAAATACCATAAATGTATAGATATAAAATATTATTTTTAATATTTTTTTTCTTTAAATTCTATATAAAAATATTTTACTTTTTTTATGTAAATATTCTTGGAAGTAGATGTGAAATATTTAGGTCAAATCATAAAAAGAGACACATAACTTTCAAGGTCTCTATTACGATCTCTTGCAGATTGGATCAACTTTAATATTAAAGCTTTTTCTAAATTAGTCAAGTTTCAAACCTTTACAACGCCTCTGACATTATCATCCTCACTCAATAGTTTTCTTTCTTCCACTACAACTTTATTTTCCTGCATAAATTTTCATTTATTTACACATTTTCTATTATACATAAATATTTATTTGCTCTCTAATGCCAAACGACTATCTCTATCTCTGGCTTTTTCGTACTCATTCTCGTTTTTTTTTGTTATATTTTACTTCCGTTTCATAAATATTTTTATCACATTTAAATGAGGCGCAAATACAGAGAAAAAATGTACTAAAAGCAGAAAGCGATTTGTTTCCATCAAGTTTATCCCCTGTATTTATATCACTTCATATTTTTTTACAACATTTTTTAACAAATAATTTTGTTTATTTGTTATTGTTGTTTTCTTTTATTGTTTATTCGTGATTGTAGACATTCATATATTTATTGTTATTGTTTTGTGTGTTTTTTTCAATGGGTTTATGGGATTTTTTTTTGCAAATTTCGGATTTTTTTTTTGGCCTTTATATAATTTATGGCCAAAATAAATGTTGAAAATATTGCCAATTTCATTGTCACTGTTTTAAAATAAAAGAATGTATAATACACATAAATATTAAAGGGCTTATTTATTTGCGTGTCAGTGTTTATAGGCTAAGGTTTATTTTAAGTTACGTGTTTAATGTGATTTTTGCAACAAATATTTTTTTTAATTTGGTGTTGTTAACACGAAACTTAACGTCTTAAATCAGAAAACATAGACTTCAATCCAGCCAGTACTATAGAAAAGGTACTAAAGATAGAAAGGTCTAAAGATTATTTTATCTCGACTATATACTGATTAAAGACATAAGAAATGCTCTGAAGTCCAGTCTGCAGAGTTTATATATTCAACACTATATAATGAATGATCTATTGATAACTATAAACTGATCTCTACTCAAAACTGTACACTGATCTATAGTCAACTATCTATAATCTATAGTCAAGACTATAGACTGATCTATAGTTAAGACTATAACATGATCTATAGTCAAGACTATAAAATGATGTATAGTCAAGACTATAGACTGATCTATAGTCAAGACAATAGAGTGATTTATTGTGAAGAATACAGACTGATCTATAGTCAAGACTATAGACTGGTCTCTAGTCAAGACTTTAGACTGATCTACAGTCAATACTATAGACTGATCTATAGTCAAGAGTACTGACTGATCTATAGTCAAGACTATAGACTGATCTATAGTCAAGACTATAGACTGATCTATAGTCAATACTATAGACTGATCTACAGTCAACACTATAGCCTGATCTATAGTCAAAACTATAGACTGATCTCTAGTCAAGACTATAGACTGATCTATAGTGAAGACTGTAGACTGATCTATAGTCAAGACTATAGACTGATCTATAGTTAAGACTATAACATGATCTATAGTCAAGACTATAAAATGATGTATAGTCAAGACTACAGACTGATCTATAGTCAAGATAATAGTGATTTATTGTGAAGACTATAGACTGATCTATAGTCAGGACTATAGACTGATCTATAGTCAAGACTATAGACCGATCTATAGTCAAGACTATAGACTGATCTATAGTCAAGACTATAGACTGATCTATAGTTAAGACTATAGACTGATCTATAGTCAAGACTATAGACAGATCTATAGTCAAGACTATAGACAGATCTATAGTCAAGACTATAGACAGATCTATAGTCAAGACTATAGACAGATCTATAGTCAAGACTACAGTTCTATAGTCAATTCTATAGACTGATCTATAGTATAGACTATAGACTATGGAGTGAATTATAGTCCTAGCTATAGACTGATTTATAGTCCAAACTATAGACTGATTTATACTTCAGATTATACTCTGATTGTGCAAAATATGGAATGATCAATAGTCCAGACCATAGATTCATAATTATGTCTGATTTTCATTTAAAGCAAATATTAGCAATAAAATTATCACAAAACAAGTAAGTATAGTCGGGCTTGGCCTACCATATGATACCCAACACCAGTTATGAATATTAAATGTGATTTATTTTTCATAATAAAGCATTTATCTTAAATATTACTATTCCGATCTATTTAAGCAATTTATAGACTAAAAACTTATTTTCTAAATGAGGCTTTATATGGGGGATAGGACCAAATGTGGACCGATCCTTATAAAATGGGCTGGATAGATTTGTAATTATATAATATTTGTCTGTGCTAAATTTCATTGCAATAACAGTGCTAATAAATGAATTGCGGATATTCAAGTCACTTTCTGAAAGGGGCTTTGTATGGGGGCTAGGGTCAAGTGAAGTCCGATCGTTTCAAAATTCGGTAAGGTCATCAAGGCTTGTATAAAACTTAGTTGTGCGAACTTTCATCGAGATGCATTTATATTATTCATTATGAGCTCAAAAGCCCTTTTCGGGGGGTTCAGTTGTATGGGATCTAAGTGAAATAATGGACCGATTTTAACCATTTTCAATATGCTTCGTCCGACTCAGAAAGTGATTCTGAGTCGATCGGTATACTTTAAGGTGGGTATAGAACTAATATTTTAATGCGTTACAAACATCAGCACAAACGCATAATACCCTTCCCACTATAGTGGTGTAGGGTATAAATATGATACACTTTTGTTTGTGATTGTTCTTACTGTTGTAGCTGATAATATTAATGTTTATTTGTTTAATATTTTTCCTCATCAACACATCATAATAAAAAATTAACAAAAAAAAAAAAAAAACAAACCCACAAACCAGGGTTATCCTCTCACACACACACTTATATTGACAATCATTTCATTCATTTTTACAAATCATCGTCATAAAAACTTCAACCGCCAACATAAAATCAACAAAATATGTATGTATGTAAGTATGTTGAAAAAATACATACAGTAAATCCAAGGTGACCGTAAAAAGGCGGGGGTGTATAAGAAATTCATGTAGTTTATGTAAATAAAATAAAATATATTATTTAATGTGTATTTTTTACATTTTTTATTTTTGGGAAAACGCTAAAGGTAAAATAGAACAAACTGTAAAAACGGCTCCCTTAATACACGCTGTGAATTTATAACAAATTTGCTGTTGTTGTTTGTTTAAATTTTTTTACACAAATTTTTATCACTGTTGTTGGCAGCAAAAAAAAAAATTCAACAGAACGAAAAAAATTAACAAGAGAAGCGTAAACTTACCAGCAAATACTGATGTTGAATTATGTCGTGGATCGTATGGACAAACAGCTTGTCCATTTTTAGTTGCCTCCAGGGTATAATTGTTGTCGTTGATTATGTAAGTGTTACACATGGGACGAAATGAATTTGTACCGCATACAAATAAACGTCCAGGCGAGGTAACAACCATGATGCGTATATAATTTTGGCACGCCTCCTGTAAAAATAAATGACAGAAAACAAGGTACGAATATGAGTATAAGTTTAACATTTTATTTATTTAGTGTTTGGTTGTATATGTTTTTAATGTAAAAAAAGTTTATTTAAGGTATTAAATTGTAATTAATATAATTAAATATATTGTTTTTCGAAAGGTGTGTAATTTAAATGAGTGTTAAGGAAAAAAATTAATAGCAAATAAATTTGTTCAATGTTTTTGAATAAAAAAGTAATTTAAGTTATTTTAAAATTTGTCTATGTAGCTTATCTTAGAAACAAACTTTATACTAATTCGAGTAGCTAAGATCCTAGCTACTCCAATTACACTACACTGTCCCCAGTGGGTTAAGATATACTGACTAGAAAATAATCAATTCTAGTAGTAGCTTAGACCCTAGACTAGCTAGAGTAGCTTAAACTCTGGACTAGTCAGAGTAGCATAAACTGTAGGCTGGCTAGAGTAGACTAAACTCTAGGCTGGCTAGAGTAGATTAAACTCTAGGCTGGCTAGAGTAGATTAAACTCTAGGCTGGCTAGAGTAGATTAAACTCTAGGCTGGCTAGAGTAGATTAAACTCTAGGCTGGCTAGAGTAGATTAAACTTTAGGCTGGCTAGAGTAGATTAAACTTTAGGCTGGCTAGAGTAGATTAAACTCTAGGCTGGCTAGAGTAGATTAAACTCTAGGCTGGCTAGAGTAGATTAAAATCTAGGCTGGCTAGAGTAGATTAAAATCTAGGCTGGCTAGAGTAGATTAAACTCTAGGCTGGCTAGAGTAGATTAAACTCTAGGCTGGCTAGAGTAGATTAAACTCTAGGCTGGCTAGAGTAGATTAAACTTTAGGCTGGCTAGAGTAGATTAAACTCTAGGCTGGCTAGAGTAGATTAAACTCTAGGCTGGCTAGAGTAGATTAAACTCTAGGCTGGCTAGAGTAGATTAAAATCTAGGCTGGCTAGAGTAGATTAAAATCCAGGCTGGCTAGAGTAGATTAAACTCTAGGCTGGCTAGAGTAGATTAAACTCTAGGCTGGCTAGAGTAGATTAAACTCTAGGCTGGCTAGAGTAGATTAAACTTTAGGCTGGCTAGAGTAGATTAAACTCTAGGCTGGCTAGAGTAGATTAAACTCTAGTCTAGGCTGGCTAGAGTAGATTAAACTCTAGGCTGGCTAGAGTAGATTAAACTCTAGGCTGGCTAGAGTAGATTAAACTCTAGGCTGGCTAGAGTAGATTAAACTCTAGGCTGGCTAGAGTAGATTAAACTCTAGGCTGGCTAGAGTAGATTAAACTCTAGGCTGGCTAGAGTAGATTAAACTCTAGGCTGGCTAGAGTAGATTAAAATCTAGGCTGGCTAGAGTAGATTAAAATCTAGGCTGGCTAGAGTAGATTAAAATCTAGGCTGGCTAGAGTAGATTAAACTCTAGGCTGGCTAGAGTAGATTAAACTCTAGGCTGGCTAGAGTAGATTAAACTCTAGGCTGGCTAGAGTAGATTAAAATCTAGACTGGCTAGAGTAGATTAAAATCTAGGCTGGCTAGAGTAGATTAAACTCTAGGCTGGCTAGAGTAGATTAAACTCTAGGCTGGCTAGAGTAGATTAAACTCTAGGCTGGCTAGAGTAGATTAAACTCTAGGCTGGCTAGAGTAGATTAAACTCTAGGCGGGCTAGAGTAGATTAAACTCTAGGCTGGCTAGAGTAGATTAAACTCTAGGCTGGCAAGAGTAGCTTAAACTCTAGGCTAGCTAGAGTAGCTTAAACTCTAGGCTAGCTAGAGTAGCTTAAACTCTAGGCTGGCTGGAGAAGCTTAAACTCTAGGCTGGCTGGAGTAGCTTAAACTCTAGGCTGGCTAGAGTAGATTAAACTCTAGGCTGGCAAGAGTAGCTTAAACTCTAGGCTGGCTAGAGTAGATTAAACTCTAGGCTGGCAAGAGTAGCTTAAACTCTAGGCTGGCTAGAGTAGCTTAAACTCTAGTCTGGCTAGAGTAGCTTAAACTCTAGTCTGGCTAGAGTAGCTTAAACTCTAGTCTGGCTAGAGTAGCTTAAACTCTAGGCTGGCTAGAGTAGCTTAAACTCTGGACTAGTCAGAGTAGCATAAACTGTAGGCTGGCTAGAGTAGATTAAACTCTAGGCTGGCTAGAGTACATTAAACTCTAAGCTGGCTAGAGAAGCTTAAACTCTAGGCTGGCTAGAGTAGCTTAAACTCTAGTCTGGCTAGAGTAGCTTAAACTCTAGTCTGGCTAGAGTAGCTTAAACTCTAGTCTGGCTAGAGTAGCTTAAACTCTAGGTTGGCTAGAGTAGCTTAAACTCTAGTCTGGCTAGAGTAGCTTAAACTCTAGGCTGGATAGAGTAGCTTAAACTCTAGGATGGCTAGAGTAGCTTAAACTCTAGGCTGGCTAGAGTAGCTTAAACTCTAGGCTGGCTAGAGTAGCTTAAACTCTAGGCTGGCTAGAGTAGCTTAAACTCTAGGCTGGCTAGAGTAGCTTAAACTCTAGGCTGGCTAGAGTAGCTTAAACTCTAGGCTGGCTAGAGTAGCTTAAACTCTAGGCTGGCTAGAGTAGCTTAAACTCTAGGCTGGCTAGAGTAGCTTAAACTCTAGGCTGGCTAGAGTAGCTTAAACTCTAGGCTGGCTAGAGTAGCTTAAACTCTAGGCTGGCTAGAGTAGCTTAAACTCTAGGCTGGCTAGAGTAGCTTAAACTCTAGGCTGGCTAGAGTATCTTAAACTCTAGGCTGGCTAGAGTAGCTTAAACTCTAGGCTGGCTAGAGTAGCTTAAACTCTAGGCTGGCTAGAGTAGCTTAAACTCTAGTCAAGCTGGATAAGATTAATCTCTAGTCTGACTTGATTGCATTGATCTATACTTTTACCACAGCGTATAAAATTCTAGTCTTGTCAGAATAGACTGAACTTTGTCCTATTTAACCTACATAAAACTCTAGTTAGTCCGTAGTAATTTAAACTCTAGCCTCTTTAAAAATATATTTGTATCTTGACAATCTAAATTAATTTATTTTAAATTATTTTTTGTTAAATATGTCATCTCTATTTGACTGATCACAAAAATGTCATAAAACTTTTTCTTTTCTGCCAGCCAAAACCTATTTCAAACTTTTTTCCAACTACTATTCTGATATAATTTATTTTTTCCTATCACATAGAAAAACCAACTAAAATAAATTCCTTTTCATCTCGACAACAAATTTTTGGCACTATTCAAATGCACTCATTCATTAAGTTTAGTTTGTTAAAAAAAAAAATCATAAAAAAACAAATAAACATGCAAAAAAGCTCCAACAAAAAACCTGCCTGCATAAATATTTTTGTTTATGCATTTTTCACGTAATTTGTATACATATTTTTTAACTTCATTTTGTATAACTTTATTGCATTGTACATACTTCCTTTTTGTTGTTTCATTTTGGTATCGTGTTAAACTCGCAAAATAATTTTCAGAGAAAGAATGGAAAAAAGGTCAAATAATGTCGGCCATATTGTATTTGAGACATTTTTATATGATTTTTTTTATTAAAGCTTGCTTGCCTGCTTGGTTATGTGTATGTAAATATGAAGTCTATGTAGGAACAAGCGTGTATGTAAGTTTGTTAATCATTCGTTTGTTAACAAGAGCGAGTGCAGGTATGTATGCATGTGTATGTTCTTGTTGGATACAATCAGTTCTTATACTCCATGCATGAGTATTTTTCATTTGTTTTATATTTTACCGTTATATGTACATATGAGGGGTGTATGCATCAGCATGATGCTTTGGTATGTTATGAATGTTGTTGTCATTGTTGTTTTGTGTTCCCTGTTGATTTTTTTCTACTTTTTTGTATATTTTAAAAAAAAACTATTGTTATTGTGTCGCTATTATTGTTTTTATTTTATTCCAGTTGCCTGATTATACTCGTAACAATGGCTGCGTATTGTTTTAGTTGGGTCACTCTCTAAAGGGATGGTATACCATTTATCCATTAATTAAATGGACAATTGCTCATAAAGTTAATGAAACATTTTTAATGTTTGAAACTTACTCCTATCATACGTGAGCTCTAATGAATTAAACTCAGATCTAGTTTTACAGGAGTAGATTACAATTAATCTCTAGACTTACTGAAGTAGATTGAACTCTAGGCTGGCTAAAGTAGCTTAAACCCTAGGCTGGCTAGAATAGCTTAAACTCTAGGCTAGCTAGAATAGCTTAAACTCTAGGCTGCCAAGAGTAGCTTAAACTCTAGGCTGCCAAGAGTAGCTTAAACTCTAGGCTGGCTAGGGTAGCTTAAACTCTAGACTGGCTAGAGTAGATTAAACGTTAGGCTAGCTAGAATAGCTTAAATTCTAGGCTGGCTAGAGTAGCTTAAACTCTAGGCTGGCTAGAGTAGCTTAAACTCTAGGCTGGCTAGAGTAGCTTAAACTCTAGGCTGGCTAGAGAAGCTTAAACTCTAGCCTGGCTAGAGTAGCTTACTCTAGCCTGGCTAGAGTAGCTTAAACTCTAGCCTGGCTAGAGTAGCTTAAACTCTAGCCTGGCTAGAGTAGCTTAAACTTTAGGCTGGCTAGAGTAGCTTAAACTTTAGGCTGGCTAGAGTAGCTTAAACTCTAGGAATATCGAAGACGTATACGTTATTTTAATTTTTAGCGGAATTTGTTAGCACTCATGCGTACTGTGATCTACTTTAAGTGTTCTTTATTTTTTCTTATTTATTCCTTAAGAATCATAGTGGCATTGTAATTCACAAAGTATTTGGCAAAAATATAACAGTTGATTTGATGATTTTATATCTATTAGCTTTAGTTTTGTTCAGTTTTATTCCTGCTTGTATTAAAAAAATCCCTTAGTTTCTCTAGAGTTACTTCTTCAACCTAACATTTTTGCCCTGTTACAGTTACACACTACATGACTCCTGTTGTAATGTTTTTATTTGTTTGGAAACAGAAAAAATTATATATTTTTTTTATTTTGTTAAAGAAACAATGAAAAAAAAAAAACAACAGCTAAAAAAATTAAAACAAAC